TGCCTGGCCCCGGGGGCCGTCCGGGCTGGACGCGGCTTCCCGGGACTCCCTCAGCCCTCCCGAATCCCGGCCCGGGGCTACACACCGGCCCCTGCTCCCCAGCGGGGTGACCCCCGAGCGGGGGAGTGAGCGCTCCCCGGGGGCGGGCAGCAGTTCTTTCACTGCCTCAGGCTCTTTCTACGCCTTAGACATTTGGGATAAAGGGGGGAAATCATGAGATATTTGAAGACCTAGTTCTCTCAAACCCTTATAGCTTCTGTAAGCAGGGTGTTCCAGAAATCTATCGCAGAACAACAGTTCAAGCGACGTCTGTGATCTAATGCTTTTCCTTGTCATTTTACACCCAACCTGAAAAAAAAAATAATCTAGACGAGTTTTCTCTTTGTTTTCTTTTCTTCCTAGATTCCTGCATTATTGGTGACCACCCAAAAATACAAATCAAGAACTCTACTTTCTGTATGAGTGCCTATCCAAACTTGACTATGGTTAACTTCACCAGTGAGGGAAACAAAACGTTTGTCAGTGGAAGTGAAGAATACTTCAAGTAAGATCTTTCTTTCTTTAGAGACGTTATGTTAATCTTTCTCTAAAATCCCCTGTAACAGACAACAAATCGCTGTTCGGAAGACTGGAAATACGATAGTTAAGGACAGCAAACGATACCCAGTTTTTATGCGTAGGAATGATGAAAGCTAAATTTCAAACGCTGGATTATTTGTGTTCTGTTCCTGTGGTGCTTAGCACAGCTGGGGTGTTGGCCCATGCCTGGCGTTTTTATCTACTACTGCAATGCAGATAGATAAAATAATACATGGTGAGAATCACTGGAACCTTCTAGAGAAACCGCTGAGAACGCTGAAGCAAAACAAAATACAGTAGGAATTTCCACTGAATTACTGCCTGCAGTTGCTGTCATTAATTCCTCCCCCCCTTTTTTTTTTAATTTCTTTTTTATTCTTAGGTACTTTGTATTGAAGATTTCAGCAGGGATTGAATATCCTGGTGAGATTAGATGGCCCTTGGCACTATCTCTTTTCCTAGCTTGGGTGATTGTATACGCCTCCCTTGCTAAAGGAATCAAGTCATCAGGAAAAGTAAGAAAAATATTTATGATGGTACACTTGCAAGAAAGCAGCATGCTGCTTTAAGGGAATCACACTCTTGTTTAAGGCAGAGAATTACTGAAAATTATTTTCAGTAAATGGCTAAGCATTAATGAAACGCCTTTTTCCTGTCTGTGTGTTCCTGTCTAGCCAAAACATTAAAAAAAATCATTTTGGTTCAGCATTTGTTCCCTAAGTTTAAAATGAGCCCTTGAGCTGCACTCAGCAGTTGGATGGCAAAATAGGTGCCTTTAGCAGCCTTCTGTATTCTGTGTGGTGTTCATTAAATTCCGCAATCATCTCACTTTTCACTGTAATCGGGGAAACTGTGATGTAAATTAAGATGTTAAGTAACATATTTTAAAATCAGAACCAAACTTAAATTGGTCTATGGCGAGTGTGTGAGCAGTGACAGCCTGTAACCTCTTTTCCCAGGTATTTGTGTGCCATCTTTCTAAGACTCCTCCTTGCGGTAACCCAGCTCCTTGCTCTGTTTCTCTGACATCTCACATGTCATTCTCTCCCCTGCCCCCCCAAATCTGCAGCTTTCTGCCGTGCCTCCTAACTAGCAACCGTGTCAAGAGGGAGCACGTCCTCCCATTGGCATGGAAGTACAGGCATACGAATTGGCCAGGCAGCCGTCTGAGCAGAGAAATGCAGCTTTTTCTTCTTCAGCAGCGTTGGTTTGGGTGGGTTTTTTTTCGTGAAACCTG